TCCAAACTAATAGTCATGGAAATAAAAATGCTAGAAAGTTAATTTTCGTGTTCCGTTACATGTGTGAGCCACTGTATCTGTTTTCTAGAATTTTTGATCCACGATCAAATATATCTTCCAAATGATCAAATTTATGGACTACTACATCGCTCAAGTACCTTTCCTAAGCCTATTAAATTTATAACAAGATGAAAAGTTTCTCAGGAGTATGACATTGTTCTTGCTAATGAGAGATAGTTCATTTAACGATAAATATAATGTTAACATAGCATTAGTTTTTATAAATACAAAAGAGAAAATAAACGTGTGTGTGCCTAATGAAGGACGTGAATGTGAATTACTAGCATTCACATAGTTGGAAGTTTATAATAAACTGACGTTCTATAATATCGATATACACACCATTATCACAAGCACTGTCTGAGCAGCATTTGGTGGATTTGTTATTTTTGTTTCTATGATCCGATTTTCAATGCCAAATTAGCAGAAACATCAGACGATAATGGACCACGTCCTTTTGCATTACCCGTATTCGATGGATCTCCAGGTGGTGAGATAATTTTCTTGAATTTCGGTGGTAAATTCACGCGTGTAATATCTATAATTGGCAATGGTTTCCTCGAATTACCAACAATCTTTACATCGGCACAATTTTGATAGAATTCACGATTCGCATCTGAATTTATCCATGACCACGAGAAAATACATTTTCCACGTTTGTTACAAGAAGGGGCAGCTTCGGGGATTTTTACTTTCCAGTCAAAGAAAATATCGGGACATGTTCGATGATAAGTAGCAATCACCGTGTACGTTTTACCACCATCATAAGAAAGGGCAAATTCACAAAAGCCACCATTATGACGACCTTGATTACGTTTAGCGTCTGCGGACGTTAGTTTTCCGGGGAAATTTGGATTATAGAATTTGACATTGATTATTTCCCCAGCTTGGAAAACTTGAGTTACTTTTGTGTCAACTGGGTATCCTCCACATGGGAACGGTTTTTTTGGACAACTAATTCCACCGTTGAGTGGCGCTGTCATACATTCGAAATCTTTTTTTGGTGTATTTGGGTTCAATGGATGACCACGCGGAAGGGGATATTTCATCGAAGAGTGTGCAAATACACCATCACCCAATAATAATATTACTACGCAAACAATAGAAAATGCAAGGTAGGATATGAGTGTCATATCGATAATTTCAAGAGTGTAAAATTTGCGTGTTTTGTGGTTCTAAAAGCAAAATTTACCCTTCCTGGGGTTATATTTGCAATAGAAAATAAAATGAGAAAAGAAAAGGATGAAAGAAAAAAAGTCTAAGAGGAAAATAAGTTAGCTAACAGTTGTTAAACTTTCACTCTTGGAAAAGCATTGGATTTTATACAATTCATTGCGCAATCTTTCTTTAATTTTATTGCTAACGCTAATCTAAACATTATTCATGCACATGCATCGATAATAATATCGATATCTCTTATTATAGTTTATATTGAAATCAATATTACTATTACATGTACATGTGCATGTATTTAATTGATTATCCAAATGAATAACATTCAATTGTCTTGATGGCTGAAAGCGTATCACCGATGAGATATAGAAAAATTGGAAACAATTAAGGAGGATGAACATGATGAATGACAGCTCGGAAAGTTCTATTTCTCTTGTTCAATGCAAATTACTGAATTGTTGGTGGTTTACGATTGTTGTACATTTTTTGTTTCAAACACTAAAAATTCTGAAGGATAATTTTTGTTTCGTCACGCGAACTGTAAATTTAGAAAAAAATTATTTTTTATTTTCAAAAAGCTTTTATTGCGTTCACAAGGAGGATAAATTATACATGTAAATACACTGATAAATAACATGACAGAATACATGTACATGTATTAGCAATAATGGTACGGACATGTAGTAAACAATCTTGCATAGCGATAGTGTTTCTTAACAACTTTTCACTAATAGAAAATGCGGGTCTTTTATTTGTTAGCCTGAAATTTTTTATTGTGATACATGTGACTATTTTAATTAATTAGTTTTATTGATCACATATTTTTTTCTTTATTTTTTATTTATGAAATATTTAGTTTTGTCCTTTCCCTTATTGAATATCACATATTTATTATTACGTACGTACAAACAAATAAAATAGACAATCTTAAATTTTAATACATGTACATACATACGTATCGGTATTAATTGCCGTGGGTAAAAAAATATTACGAGTAATACATGTACAGTATTTATACGTATTACCTGACACACAACTTTAAAATACATGTACATGTACGTAATCGATCTTTATTCCCACTTGTCTTTTTCCTACTTGTATTAAGGAAAATAAAGATTTTTAGATTTTATAAAAGATACTTGTGAGAAATAACATCTGAAGTTGTTGCTAAAATATTTTCAGCTTGAAATTGTGCTCGAAGCTATGTTAGAAAATTCATAATAAAATATTACCTTGACTATCGTTTTTCATCTTGATTTGATAACGTTAATAAAATCTTTACGCATTTGTTCGATTCTTCCAACAGGTTTTCAATAGGATGCTTACTGCTCTCTGATGATCTTTGAAAGCTAGAACATTAAAAAGTATAAAACGTCGAGGTTCCGTCGTTATTAACGAAAAAAGTATCATATTCTATGTATGGATAGTGCTGGAATGTTCTGAAATGACTACATAAATTGACTTTGATAACTACGTAGTTATACCCTGATTTTGGATGGTTAGTTTTTTGAAATCAACCTATTTAATCGATACGATTTAATAACTGAAAAATTTACATAATTCTAAAGAAAACAGTAAAAAAAATGAATAAACAGATAGAAATACGCACAAATTTAGTAAAAAAAAGTTCGTTATATCAAATTACTGTGTTTTGTATAGAGCCCGCTACTCTTTCTATAACGAACTAATAGAAAATTTAAAAATTTGAGGTTCGTTATGTCCAGAGTTTGTTATAAAGAGGTTTGTTATAGAGAGTGTTGACTGTATACACATATAAAATTTAAGAATAAAAAAATAATATATTAAAATTCTCATATTTTGTCTTGCAATTCCCTAGAAAATCGATTAGGCAACCCAACTGTCATTACTAAAACGAAGAAACATCCGAGACGAAGAATGACCTCCTTTATACCCGTAAAGCATTCTCACAGCGTGGCATATCTCGTCTATAATGAATCTTTCATTTGAATTGAACATGAAACAAGGTAAGTTTTGATATATACTTTTTTTATTTAGTTGGTGACTTTCATATTTGTCTGTTATTGATTTAATTGTGGAAAACGATCAAAATTTTGTGACATTTGAAGATTCTTGGAACAACACGAATAATGAATTCAATCTATTAAACTAAGTTAAAACTGCTCAGTAATCGATAATTTCAAATAATTAATTTTTTATCGTTATATCACAGGTGTAATATACTACTATGATGCTTTCAAGAATCAGATGTATTTGTAGACTGCGTGATTGAAGATAAAATTCCTGCATTATTAAAATCTGAATACAACGCTCGTAACACCATTTCGACGATCCTCTTAATTTTGGTTTGGCTTCCAAATTTAAAATCTTATCTCAGGAATTAACTGACTCACAGAAAAAATACATTCTGGAGGTTGCTAAGAAATATTTTTTGGTTAGATTGGTAAAGGTTTCATAATAAGTTTCGAGTTGGGAAAAGTCAAATATTTCTTTGCTGATTGTGCCGTCTCAATTAACCATTTAATACGCCACACACTATAGGTCCAATGTTCTCTCTCAAACAAACACCCTTATTTGTATCTCGCGTATTCTTTCTTTTTAACACAATTCTCTCCCAAACAATGTTAATAATTATATTTTGCATTCTCTTTTAGTGCTAATGTCTAAAATTCTCTTTTAGACAATGCTAATATCTAGCATTATCTCTTTTTTTATCACGATTCTCTCTCTTAAACATTTTATCTTATACATGTATTTTCGTTTTATTTATATCAAGTTCTCTCTCAAATATTACCTTTAATTGGTCTTGCATTTTTTTTTAATTGTCATGATCTCTCTTAAACAAAATCCTTAATTTATCTTACATTCTCTCTTAAACAATGCTTTTAATGTTTTTAATGTCCTATGTTCTCTCTGAATTGTATTTTCTTTTCTTTTGTTTGATCTTGATTGTAGTCATAGAAAAGTAATACTGCTATGTAAAACTCTAAAAAAATGTATATAATAAAGGTTACAGGCCTCAATAAAGTTCGGAATTGTTGCGCACAATTGTTCTCCAAGTAAAATAAGACTTGTAAAATTCCCTCGGAATAATTGATTGAATTGACTGACGGTTAGGACCTTGATTCAGAAAAGGCATTGTTTAGAAGATCGACGACGGTAATCGATCTTGGAAAAGACACGCGTAATAGATAATAGAAAACTCGATTAGATTTAGAAATTAACAAAGGAAACATTGTAACATACACACACTAAACTCCAACGTGAAATACGATATCCGTAGATATCAGCACAGGCAACACTAATTATCGTCCAAGACCACTCTTGCTCTCCCGTTTATAGGAAGATCCTTCCCTTCTATATAAATCACGAGATCACGTAACAGTGCACGTATTTATCTGTCATTTTTGGATTGGATAACCAGATTAGTATGGTATGGATCACGTGGAGATAGTTAGTACATGTAATAGGTGGGAATGCGAATATCAGTATGGTATGAATAAACGGCATGCATCACGTGTATAAAATGTATATAGTGCAGGACACTTAAAGACGCCAATCACGTGACTTTGTCCCATTTTTGCCACCAAAATCAAACTGGATTTT